CAGGAATCTCTCCTGAAGCATACAAGCAAAGAGGTACTACAGTCATCATAATCATCACATTATGCATCAAAGTCTCTCCCTTGGAAATATTTAATTGGCTGCAGACACTGTCAGCACTTAGTTACATTAAATGCTTTGAAACTATGTTTTTACTTCAGTAAAATAATTAAATATTTCCTGATATCTTACGGTTTTCCAAGAGAGATGGGTATTTTTCAAGGAAAGTACCATGGAAATTCCAATCTATTTGCAAATCAGATGGGTGGGAATGAAAAGGTTCCTAGGTAGGATTACAGAATATCAACACTAAAAAACCCAAAAAACCCACAAACACAGAAGCCAACAAATTCAGGTCTTTTGTTAACTGCTTGGTGCCCAAAACTCAGCAACTCTGTCAGGATCACAAAACTTGTTTCCTTTAGGATTCTGGCTCCACTTAAAAGTTAAGATTCCAGAGTTTAACAATCCTAACAGAAGGCAAGAGGGATATGGGAACAAAAGGCAGTCAAAAAGTAGATAAAGCCAGATACATCCTACAGCAATTTAGGGTTCTTTTACACCAGGGGACAAGCCATGACAGAAATGCAAAATGCTAAACAAAACCATGTCCCTTGGCTGACTTTGCCAAAACATTTTTCAGTGTGCTATTTAAAGTGACCATCTCTGCATACTCTGGACTAGTTTATTAAGATTTTCAAGAACATGGCACAAATTTATTTGGCTAACATCAAAGCAATGTTCTGACTGTAACTGTTTTAACCATGATTTACAAACTCGCCTACCTAGTGCAACATGAAAATATCTTCACTATGTTAACTTTAATTCCGTAACAATTTGGATGATCCATACAAGTAATGCACATGTTTTTATTCATATTATTCAGCCAAAGAAATAAACAAAATGTTCGTGTAAATACTAAAAGAAATTATTTTTCCACTTAATACTCATCTTCTGTTTAATGTATTATTCTAGTAAGTTACAGTGTACACAGTCCAAAGTTGTTTGATTTTTTAAATACTTTACCAAATGATAAAAACTCTGAAATCCACTTAAAAGACACTCAGAAGTATCTTATTGCAATATTATCAACGTAGTGCAGTAAGACTAATGTAGTATACAATTCAACTTTCTTTCTGTGTATAAATGAATGCATTCAAGATTCAAATTCAGACTTCAGACGTTTCTAGTACTCTGTATCTAATTTACCTATAGCACAGCAAAAAAAAATTATGAAGCAAGTTTACAGCTTTTCTGTAAGCAATCACATTTATTCTGTAGAATATGACATCAAGTTTGCATTATCACTCTCTTGCCCCAACTTTGAGTGCTTGACAGTTTCATAAAATGATTGTAAACACATGAAAAATGGCTTAAAAGAAAAGTTTCGCTTAAGAGCATTTGAGAGAGAGCAGAAAAGATTAAAGGGTTTAAGATCATGATTTGAGAAAACAGGTCTCCAATTCTGAATTCAGAAGATTCATGTAACACAATGATTCTGTAACCTCAACTTCTCTAACAACAAGCAGAAACTCACACACCTAAAGCTTTGCAAACCTCTGAATACCATACTTGTTCCTCATGGTCTCCCAGAATGAATACCAGGAAGTGCTTCTACTGAACTCACCAAATGTGCTTATCTGTCTCAAGCTGTCTTATTGCATGAAAAAGAACTCTATAAACTCAGATCTTGGCCTAAAGAGCTCTAAAGAACAACAGGCCTTAAACACAGAAGAATCTTCGCAAACCTAACATATACTGGTAAATTACCAACTCACAGTATGTAGCACAGGAAAAATGACAGATCCTTCCCAAAACTAAAGTCATTACAACCATATTTAAAAACAGTATAGCCATCAAAAGACACAATCATAGAAGTCTGAGATTGGAGACAATGAAATGTACAGGGCCAGCAGCTTCATATTTGTGACTCACTGGAAAAGAAAGATTTAGAATTACAAGTCCTTCTTGCACCTGAAATGTAGCACTTGGAAAGCTAAAACATAAATCCAGCCTTGTAACACTGACAGCCTGAACGAACACAGGGAGAGACTCCATGTACATGTCTGTATGTATAATTATGCCTGAGGAACAAAATGATGGTCAGTTTAATATCCAGAGTTTTTGGATTTGTCTTATTCACCAATTCAACATCCTTTCGCAATGAAAGAAGGATGCATGCCCAAAATGCACACTTGATTTGTTTTACTACAGGTCTCAGCACTGGTTCATGTTAAACTCTGGGCAAACACACAATTCAAAGGCAGTCTAAGCTATCAAAGTTTTATTTATTTGAAATATATTAATATTATTTATACACCTTATTTCCTAAACGATTATGAAAAGCATTAACCACACACACAAGCAGTCATGTTATATATAAGTTTCCATCTGCAAAGTGATTAAGCACATATAATATACAACATACACATAACTGCCAAGACCAATCTGGTTCGCAGGGTTGCAGCAAAGTCATTCAAGCTGTTTCCAGCTCCTGCTGTGATTTAACTATTCAAACTACATCTCAGCTCAATGAAAGGTAACTTCCAGGTAAAAGACAGTATAGCCTAAAATTATTTGAAAAGCAATGGCAGCCACCCAATTATATTTCAGTTTCACAACCACTCTAATGGGAACAGTTTTACAGCCTGGCTCTAATTACTTCTGAAAGAACAGAGAAATTAGTATTTCAGTTCAAACAGCACCATTTTGACGAGCTCTGGATTGTTAAAAACCTTCTTTCATGAAGGCTGCATTTCACTGCTACACTGGGTAAACTGCTACATATATACCTACCACAGGCTTTACAGGCAGCAGTGCAAATCTCTTCTGCAACATATTCTCCAGCTGGAAATTGAAGGTAATCTCCTCCTGTCTTCCCAGGAGCATGATAAAGGTACACTTGAAGCAATGGTTCCGTCTGCTTGGGTGCACTGGTATTCCCAAGGATGTCACCATTCTGGTGGACAGTAGAAGTTGCTGTACTTTCCATATTTGTCATTGCAAGACAAGCCATAGTCCGTTTTGTTTCTCTTCAGATCATTTGCCTAAAATGTAAGAAGTACTTCTTGACTAATTGTACTTGGCTTTACCTCCAATACTCCCACGTAATTATAGTACTGTTCTGACACAGGAAAAATATTAACACCTGAGGACAAGAGAATGTCTTAGGTGGCTTACTAACTGCTACGTTCCTCTTTGATTTACTACTGTTACAAAACGTATAGACAGTATTACAGGAATAAGCAAAATACTAATTGGGAGTCCAACCAGGGAATTATTATCTCTCACTGGATTTTAGACAGCATGTGCTCAACTGTCCTACTGAAAAATGCTAGTTACACCAGAAAGCCAAAAGGATCCCTTTAATGCCAACCATACAACCGTGAACATTGCACTGAGAAGACTAAACAACTTGCTAGGTCACAGACTGGCACTGATGAAGAGAAGGGTAGGAATATCACCTTTCAGCTGAGTTTTACTCTTAAGCAGGCACTTAAATGAAAACAGGTGCTGAGATGAGGCTCTAAGCAAGCAGACTCAGTTTATATCTATGAATGGGAGGACTTCCAAGACCACTCACTTTCAGACTAATAATTTAAATCTATTTTTAAGGAACTCCAGCTAACAATCCTCTTTGATAAATATAATCAAAGAAAAGGTTATCCTCATAACCCAATATATAACCACAGGTATATTTGATAATGAAAGAAAAGGTTTTAAAGGTGAGACTGGACAGCACGTTCCAAAACCCAGTTGAAGAATGTCTTTGGTTTCCGGTCACTCCATCATAGTTTTTATCAGTATAACCCCTGCTTATGATAAAGGCTTTGATCACAGTTTATTAGGCTTGCTTTTATCAAAACTGATTCTGAGTAACTACCACCTGAAACTCTGTATTTCATATTTTGAAAATGCAGAATAGGTCTAAACCAGACATCAGTTATAAAGACTTGATCTGCTGGCCCAGTGTGTCTCTTTATATGATACAAATGGCTTTCTAGGCTGCATGTGCACACTGCCAACTCATGCCTTGTTTTCCATCTACCAAGTCCCTATCCACAGGGCTGCTCTCATTCCATTCATCCCCCAGCCTGTATTCATAATGGAGACTACTCTAACCCATGTACAGGACCAGGTGCATTTGACCTTGTTGAACTCCATGAGGTTCCCATGGGCCCACTTCTCAAGCCTGTCAAGGTCCCTCTGGATGGTATCCTTTCCCTCAAGCCCATCAGCTGCACTAGTCAGCTTGATGTCATTCCCAAACTTGCTGAGAGTGCGTATGTTGCTGATGAAGATATTCAATGGTGAATAAAGATATTGAACTTGAAAATGTTACTATTTAAGTTAAAAATACATTTATTGTTTCGCATAGGCAGATGTGCACTACATTCTTTAGACTGCAATTTTCAACATGTTTTGTTTATATTGAGGAGAGCTGTTCGGAATAAGTTTGGTCTGTTCCTAACTACAATTACCTAGGGAAGGATGAGTGTATGACTATAGATTTATGTGGGCTAAAGATGATGTGTGCTACAGAAATCAAAATGGACAGAAAAAAAGCCTAAACACCATTAAAGAAGGAAAATGCTAACTTCATGAGTTACGCAATAGACAAAAGGATTCAATTAGACATACAGGTAGATAAAACTATGTTAACATGATGGTAATTCTAGGAAGAAGAAAGTAGAAAAAAAGTACCATCATCAAGAGAAAAGTGCATCTTTTTGCTTCCCAAACTAAGCAACACAAAGAGCCAGTGAATCATAGACATATAAATCTGAATGTTTAGATGCAAATGTCATTCACTACATTCTTTAGGCCCCGATCTAGGGGGACGTATGAATTCCATATGCCTCATTTATTGAGCCAGCCACCTTTAAATGAGAAGATTTGCGCTTTTAGCAGCAAAGGCAGCACAGGTAACAAGTTTAATTAAGAAAAAATTGCATGTCTCTTAGCTCACAAAGGATTAATTTTTTTCAGAATGACCACTACACTTAGAAAGATTTCTCACTACCTCTTTCAACAATATGCAAGATGCAAGGTTTGTGCTCTACCACTTGCTTTTATAAAACATTCACAGCTTTAATGTCCTGAGGAAACTTTCCTTAAAGACTACAGAAGTTTTCCTAAAAAATTTCAGTATTAACCCTCTTGTCAACACAAACATTCACCTGAACTGACAGACCCTTTCACCTTGGTCACTTGGTATTATGTCTATCTCACCCTGAATGGAAACACTGTTTGTAGAACTAACTGAAAACATGGCCAAATTCAGGTGTGAACTAAACACACATGCATGTGCCTAGCTCTCCTTCGTAATATTTGTGTATTTACAGACCTATCGTTTCAAAAAACCCCATAATTCCTTCTTTGTTTCTACAGAAAAAACCCCAATAAACCAAGAAGGGAACCTTGCTTAATCACACCTATGAATACAAAATATAAATAAAATGCAGTTAAAAAAAGGCAAAGTAAATACTGTAACAGAACACTCTAGTCTGTTCTTTTTGTTGCAGTAATTTCAAAGGTTCCATGTAACAAATATGAAAAAAATCTCAAAAGATATTATTTGTATAATTGTGACATCACTTCAAATTGAGTAATTAATCTAATTCTGCTACTGATGAACAGAGGATTTGATCCAACAGGATTATTTTAATGCTTTTACCCTGGATAATATTTCAAGCCAGTTTCTAATAATCATTCCCCATATTGCTCTAACCACTATCATCAGCACCTACAATGCAACATGTTTACATACAGTTCTCTGTTGCTGGCCGTACTTCCAATGCTCCTGAGTATAATTTTTACCAGCTACACTGGGTTGCACTAATTCATACTGATTTTTTTAAGTCAACCAGGAAGGAATTAATGAATGAGATTGAAAATGACTTAGGGAAGAAATTTCACAAAAATATGAAGGATATACAAAATTCTCAGTACTTAATAATATGCAGCATTCACAGCCCTGTTCAGGACATTTATTTTTCAATTTATGTCTATCTTGTTTTGTTTTGGGGCAGCAGGGGGTTGTTCCAGGGAAACCTCCAGGGCTAGGATATTTAGCAACACCACTTCAAAAGTACAACTCTGAAGGTTCAAAAATCAGAGGATTCACTCACTACAGATAAATTCCCAACTGTTAATTACCTTTTTATTACTTGAGAAATCTCTGCATTAAACATGGGAGTGATGAAGGCCTTTAAATATCCACATTACAAGCCACTCACTTGCTTCTGGAATCCGCAGGAAGTCAGACAAAGCAGGCACACAAGCAGTGGTGGAACATAATGTATCTGCAATAAAAACACAGTATTAAAAAAATGTTAATATTTGTGACCATAATGCATCATTACTGAAGAATTTAAATCTGACTTTAGATACAGATAGAGTGTATTTCATTTGCTCAAATTCCTGTCTTCTTGGCAAAAAACTTTTTTAACTTAGGAGCACTTTTTAAATATGAAGTTAAAAAAAAAACAAACCCCAACAATTTCTGAGAAACATTTTTGGGTTTTTTTTGTCCCCACCGTGTTTTTCTTTTCTGTGAATACGGCATCAGTCTAAGAAGACTGTTGAAGCATTAAATGCAGAAAATAGAAATAAAAAAGGAAAAGTAATCACAAAAACAGACATGGTACATTCGCTTCATGCAGTAACACTCCATTCAGCCAGAACAATTAATTCTGTTCGGAAACTGACAACAGCCAGTCACTTTAATTCATGTGGAAGTTAAGACCAACTGTCTTGCAGGAGGAAGGACAAGAGCACATCCACCTCTGCTCTCTTTGCACAACAGTTCTGTGGTTGCAGGAAAACTCCATTTGAAACCACTTAAGCACAACAGTAGCTTCCTGCAGCCGTGAAAAAAAAAAAATGTAAATTCCTTGCTTGACACTCCCAACACAGTAAAAGGGCCTCACAGAGAAGCAAAAGTTAATTTTAAAACTGAATGGGAGGGAGGGAATGGGGGCAGAATTCAGATTAAAGAACTCTGCAAGTTTTATGTCCCTTCAGATAGGTATCTCCCTGCACGGGAGGTGAAGGACAACACCAGTTTCCTCAGTTCTGTGTGTTGTGTCTACTGAGTCTATAATGAGTACCACCCTCCAAAGAAAAGACCCCAAAAAAGAACCCATCTCAATGAGCAGTAAATTCAGCTTCTTTCCCATTGTAGGTATTCTAAATTATTTTCTGCAGTTAATTACATAGCTTTATCATAAACCAAATAGAATCAGGGTTGCAACATTTTGAGTAAGCTCAGTGACACTGCAGCTTGCATTTCAAATGCAAAAAACCAAATTGTTAAAGCAGCCTAATATCAAGTCTATTCTTCACATGACAAACAAAAATGATCACTTGCTTATGAAACAGCAGCTCACAGCCCTGGACAAGAATCATAGAAATTCAGGGATGAAAAAGCCTGAGCTGAACACATTCATGGTGGTTACAGTAATGTATTTCTTGCTTTCTCCCCACTGCTGCCCCCTATTTTTTTTTTTAAGAGAGTCAGCTACTTTAGCGCACATTTACAGACATACCCATTTACAGGATCTGCACAAAGGCCTCATAAAACTATTCAGTTTAAATACTTTCAGGCTGAGTAAGTCTTATCTGACACAACTTGCTCTTTCAGCAGCAATGCTGCTGTATCAATCTGACAGTGTACCATCTCCCCAGTGACCTAGCTCCCCCATTTCCTCTTTCCC